TTATACAAAATTTCATTAAACAATGTAGTAGAAATTCACTGATGGTTGCTACATTGCATGATGTTATCTTCAAATTAGTTGTTGTTTAGGTTAGCAGATGTAAATCTGCAAAATTGGTTAAAACAAAATAAGACAACAACAACAAAAGCTATAAGGAATTTTTAAAAGGGAGAATAAAAAGAAAAGAAATGTTGAGCATTAACTGCTCCCTTCAAAAGACCAGCAGAAATCCGTAGTACAGTTATCCAAGCCGCCCTGCATATATACCTAAGCACACAATTACGGGGAATGTGTATCTGTACCCAGTATGTCTGATTCCTCTGTTTTCTCATTCCCATCCTCCTTTCAAGCCTCTCCCCTTCCTGTTCACAGAGCTTTCTTTCCATTTCATCATTCTTTTCTCATTTTCCTTTCCGTTCTTTCCCCCTCCCACTTCCCCAGTTCCCTTTTACTTTTGAACAATTTCTTCGTGTTTCACAATATATACTACTACCTTTTTTTTCTTTCACTGTGCAGTTCAGGCTGGCCTTGAACTCACTTTGTAGCCAGGACTGGCCCCAAAATCACAGCGAGCCTCCTGTCTCGGCCTCCCGGGTGTTGGGATAACAGGCGTGCGCCACCATGCCTGGTTTATATTATACATTTTTGTTCATATTTACATTTTCAGTTTTCCGTTTCTCACCAGAGAGAGAAAGAGAGAGGGAGAGATGGGATATTCACATTTTTAACAGCAACGCAACGGTTGCCGCTCAGCACATGTCTCCCCCACAGTGCTGCCACGACTTCCGTGGCTGTCCAGACCTGGCAAGCAGGGTGGCGGGAACATGTGACCCAGCCCTCAGGCAGGGGACAAGTGTCCTAGCGCCCAGCACAAGGAGCTGCTAAAAGTAGGGTGAGACCAGCTGCCCCCAGAAGGAGATGCAATGGACAAAGGGACCCCATGGGAAAGAGACCCCTAGACTGGCCGTCCGGGGAGACGTGGAACCATGTCCTGAGCCTCCCACAGGTAAGCCCTACCCCGACCTCCTAGGTGCTTCAGCCGGACCCTGCCCAGGACAAACACGTGTGTGACAGAAAGGAAGGAGGGGCGGGGCGTCCTCTTGGGACACCTGCTGGAACCCGGCTCTGCAGGAAGCCTGTCCTGCCCCAACTCTGAAGGCCTTTCCATGGCACTGAACCTGGCCCCACCAAGACCGTGTACACCCCTAGAAATTGCAGCTGCTGCACGAATGGACACAGCCATGCCCTGGAAGAGGTGGAGAGGGCCTCCTCATGCCGCACCAGCTCACCAGCAAGGGCCACAGGGTCTGTCCCCTCCCCCGCCTCCCAACAGGTCACCACGACCACTGTGGCCTGCCCTCCCACAGACGGATGGGAAGGGTCTCTCGGTGGTGGGACTGTGCCAGTGCACACGCTCACTGTGCACTCTGGGTCTCTCTCACTCCCAAAGGCTCAGCAGTTTAGAGTGAGGCTAGCAGACTACAAGAACCCTGCGCTTGACCGCAGATTCCTTCATACGTGAGCTCAGGACCGACTGCGCTGTGGGGAGAGGGAGTCCCTGGTTGGAGGTGGAACCCGGAGTGGACCCAGAAGGCCCGTCTCCCTCCCGACTCCTCCCTTCTCATTCGGCTTCCCAGCTGCCTTGAGCATAGCAGCTTTGCTTCACCACATACACCCTTGCACCAGGACACTTTTGCCTCTGAGCCAGCGAACCATGTACCGAATACCCCGAACCGTGAGCCACATTAAAACTCTCCTTATGTGGTATGTGTTGGGTGTTTGGTCCCAACAACAGGAAAGCTAATACACTGTATCCACAGGTCAGTCATAGCTTTACCTCCTTCCAAAGTGGTGACAACGCACCCTGCAGAGGGCCCTGCAAGGCAAACCCATCCCCAGCACTGACTGTGGCAGAGGATTGGCAAGGACTGAGATCCGGACCCTAAGCCTCCATCCCACGAAGGAGAGAGAGCCGAGTTCCAGTCTTCTCCCATCAGCGGCGTGCAGGTGTCTGTTTCCATGTGTCTCTATGCACATGGGCACGTGTGTACAAGTGTGGTACATGCAGCATATGTGTGCATCCGTGTGTGGGTGCACGTGTGTGTCTGAGCGCCTATACATGTGTGCATAGGTCTCACAGACATGTATGCATGTACACATCTGTGGCCGCCGCTGCTCCCAAATCCCACCCCACTTCGGAGACAGCTGCCCTGGCTTGGGGTTGCTCCACCTCCTCTCCCGGTCACAACATGAACAGCCCTAAGGAGGAGCAGTCCTAGGTGGAGCTCTTTCTACACTGTGTGTCAGTGACGGATGTGCCACTCTGTGATTCGCTTTCCAACGTATGGTGATGTCTCCAAGATTGCTCTCCACTGTTGGGGGAGCTGTTTGCATGCGGTGTCACCACACTGTGCCCTCTGGGGGCCCCAGGCCATGTGCACACCTTTCTGGCACAGAATGGCACGCAGGTGTGGGGACCCGGCTTTCGAGGCTGAAGACTTTCCCACAGCATTCTCACTGCTGTCTCCTGAGTCGCGGGAGTGCTCCGGCAGCTCAGAGACCAGCAGATGGGGAGTGGGCAGATTGTGGGCTTTAAATCTGGGTTTAGGGCAGGGGAGATAGCTCAGTAGAATAAGTGCCTGCCTGGCAAGCACAGGATCCTGAGTTCAATCCCCAGTACTGCAAAAAATAAATAAATAAATAAATCTGGGTTTAAACGGGACCGGCCAGACAGCTCAATGGATTAAAGTGCCTGTTTAGGAACAGGGTTCCATCCCCGGCATGGCGGCCCTGCCCCCAGGGCGCACTGAGAAGTGGCTGACACTGGATGTGGTGGAGTGTCCCTATAATCCAAGCGCTGGGGAGGCTGAAAACAGGAGTTTAATCTGTGTAGTCAGACTCATCTCACTATGAGTCTGATCTGTGTAGAGAGACCCTGTACTAAATACAAAAAATAAAATCTGGGTTTAAAACATGGGTTATGGAGCCAGGGAGATGGCTCAATAGGATAAGCGCTTGACTGGCAAACGCAAGGATCTGAGTTCAATCCCCAGTTCCACCAAAAAAAAAAAAAAAAAAAACAAACATGGGTTAGTGCTAGGATTCGTTTTGTTGTCTCTGTGGTCACTTACAAAACCAAACCATCATGTTGTCCCTTTTGGGCTGGGGTGGCACTGTTGCTATGTGACAACCCTGGACAGGCAGAAGGCTCAGTGGGAAACCAGGAGCAGGGGCACCTCTCCAGCTCCCTAGCGAGGGTACTGCGGGCGCGGTGGGCCAACCTGGACCAGCTTGCCATCCTGTGTGCTAGCTGGGGTTGCGCGCAGCAGGCAGCAGTGTGGTTTTCTGAGCTCTTTGCTGGAGCAAGGTCTTAACCAGTTTTGGAAATCAGGATGATCGGTACCATCAGAACAAACCTAGTTACGTTCCAAATCCTGACCTGTGGAAAGGGTCCTTTGGGCCAGGGGGTGGGGGGGATAGAGGAAGGGCGGAGGGGAGCGTCTGTCCAGATGCGGAGAGACCTGGGCGTGAGCTTAGACCTCGCAAAGTCTTGGGTGACCTCTGGAGGGATGCAGGTGACATGCTTGAAGCAAGGGACTCTCGCTGTTCGTGCCCCGTGGGGGCTGAATGGCCCTGCTTGGGTGAAGCTCAGAATCCCGAGGGGCCTCTGCAGAGGGCACGGCCTACACACGCTCCCACCCTTGGGTCCGCACGCCCTGCCTGCGCCCCTCCACCCCAGCTTCATAAACAGCACTGGCCGAAGGAAACCTTAGCCGCAGGTCTCCGAGGTCTGACAACTGCCTTGCTGGAGACCAGAGGCCGGAGACGTGCGCTACCAGCAGTGGCCAGCAGGGGGCGGGGCGGCGCCGGCTGAGCCCGGGCCCTTATCTCTGCCGCGGCCACCGGCAGCGTCAACGTGCTGTCAGTCACTTACCAGGCACCCACTCCAGAGAGGACGTGACTCAGTGCACAGGTTCCCCAAGACTCCCCAGCCCTTCTGGTGGCAGCTAGTCCCCGCCCCTCCTGGGCTTCCGTCCTGCTGTCAGGCTGTGTCTCTCCCTCTCCTCCCAAAGACGCTGCTGGGAGGGGCAGGAGGACACTCTGCACCTGCAGGGGCTGAGGGGGTCGAGGACCTCCTGGGAGACCCTGTGCCCACCTGCCCCGCAGCCCAGCCTGGCCCAGCACTCGGAGGACGCGCAGCTCTCCTGAGGACACAGGGGGCTACGTGGCCGTGGCGAGGCCCAGCTGGGTTCCGGGGCACAAAGGACTTGAAGATGGAGCAGCTCCCCTGGCTCCTGCAGGGCCCTGCCCTCGGGTGAGGGTGAGGCGGGCCCTGGGGCTGGTCCCTATGGCAGCCCTTGCACCGGAGAAGGTGGGAAGCACAGGGCTTTGGGGCAAGCCACTCCCCCTGGGGTGCTGAGTGGCCCTGCTGGGGTGAAGTTCAGAATCCTGAGGGGCCTCTTCAGAGGGCATGGCCCACACGCGCTCCCCAGGTCCACACGCCCTGCCTCTGCCCCTCAAGCTCAGAGCCAAAACTGCCAGGCAGGACTTCTGAGCTCCAGCATGGGCCTCGGCGCCCACCATTATGCAAACCCAGCTGGGGCTCTGAATAGCCACCCCAAGTGAGGGAGCCAAGAAGTCGCCGGGAGTGGGGGGCACCGGGGAGCCAGAGGTGTCCCGAGAGCAGCCTTCCCCACATTGGGACCTGAGCTGCCGCCTCCCCAAAGCCAAAGTGCACCCCCTGTGTCCCTGTCCACCCACTCTGAAGCTAGATGGAAGAACCCAGGCGACAGCAGGAGGCTAGGCACTCTAGGGGAAGGACACCAGGACACGTGTCCTGAACCCAGAGATTCCCATGGATCAGAATCAGAGGGCACAGGCACGGCCCACACACGCCGGCAGGCACAAGGTCTCCCCAGTCCCGCTAAGGACTCCAAGGGGAGATTGGGAAGGGAACTTGTAAAGCCCTGCAAGAAACAAGCTGGCTACCGTGGTTATCAAATTCCCTCTTTATTCACATGAATTGTATCAAATTTTAAAATCCTCACATCTTTCCCTAACAAGAGTTCAGATTCAGCCCAAAGTTCTGAAAAAAATAAAAAAATCTGGAAAGCAAGATAAAGTCACTGAAACGTGCTAATGCTGACGTCCCGTGTGGGTGATCGGCGAGGATTCCTCTCCTCTGAACTGCAAACTGTTCCCCAGATCCTCACGTGCAGTGTGCTCCGGGGGACGCCAAGGGGACCTGGACGGCAGTGTCATGGGCGGGGACCTGGGTGGCCGGGACCGAGAGTGGCGAGGGGCACTCAGGCCCGCCCCAGACTCTTCCCGATGAAGTGGCCCACCAGGCGCTGCGGCCGCTGCTGGTACTCGGCTAGCACCTCGTGCGGGCTGCTAATCTGGTCCCCTTTCAGCCGGTCCAGGAGGGTGACACACACCACGGCCGCTGCAAAGAGCAAAGCCAACACGTCATGCGCACGCGCACATCTCCAACTCAGTCCCGGGAGGAGCAGGGAGGACCGCAGACTGAGGAGTGCCCCGCCTGTCCCCTCTGGGCCCCGGGACCTGCTCATGCTTGGGCAGGGACAGGCTGTCGAGAGAGTGGGAGTCAGGAAAGCGCTGGGTCAGTGAGTTTGGGGAAGCTCTCGCTGCCCTGAAATTCAATGTCCACCTCCATCATCCATTTTTTGGTCTGGTGACGCGAAATCTGACTGCCACCAGAATTTCAAGGTCTTCAAATGCTCTGGAAGCTGCGCTTTCTGACTTGCCTCTTTCCTTGCTTCCCTGCATCCCCAAGCCAACTCAGGGCCTGGGGGCAAATGGGACATGGGGGTCCAGCAGGAAGCCTGAGGGTGCTCAGATGTGTGTGTGACAATCAAAGGGGAAGCACAAGCCGCCTCACTCAGAAATAGACGTGGAAGAAGCCAGTACCAAGTCCCCAGGGCCAGGGAGCAGGTGCAGGGCACCCCAGCCGCTGCGCCACCCACCTCGGAGGCCACAGGCGCTGCACATGGCAGCGAAGACGGAGGACTCCATCTCGATGTTGCGGATGCCCGCGGCGTGCGCAGCCCGCAGGTAGTCCTGCTTGTCCTTCTCTGTGTAGGAGCAGAGGGCGCCATCCAGACGGCCTTGGCCTGCAGCACCGAGACCACACGCACGCTCATCCGGGTGCATCCAGCACCCCCACCCCCACCCGGTCCTCAACCAGTCACTGTCCCCACCAGGAGCGCAGCCCGGCCCCCGCCCCATCTCACCCTCGTAGAAGTCCAGGGTGCACATGGTGTTGCCCACCACCGTGGCGAACTCGCTGAGGTCCCCAGAGCAGCGCAGCAGCTCCTGCACCAGCCCCTCGTCCAGGTCAGTGCTGCGGACCACCCGCTTGCCCAGGATGATCTGCTCAAACTCCGGCTTAAAGCAGGCGTCCACAGCCTGCCGGGTGATGACCACAGAGCCAGGCTCCAGACCTGGGGATAAGAGGAGCGGATGTGACAGCCCTGCGGGGCAGGGAAAGGACCCTGACCTTCTGACCTTCCTCACTCTGCTACATCAGAGTTCCAGGTGTGTTTAAGTGACCCCACCTTGTCTGCTCAAAACAAGTATAAAAACAAAAAATGGCACCAAAAGCTCTAGCCTCCCAAAACCAGCTCTGCTGACCTCCAAATCCCATGCTGGGAGAGCAACTCAATTCAAAGGTGCTGGGTTCTTCCCCAGTACTTAAAAAAAAAGGAAGAAAAGAAGTCCTGTATCAAAAAAAAAAAAAAAAAAAAAAAGATGAAGAGGAAGTCGTGTATCAAAACCCTAGACCCAAGGCAGTGATGGAGCAGTGGCAGGGCCCTGCAAGATACCAAGGTCCCAAGTGCACAGTCTTCATGAACGGGGCTGGCACCCTCAGAACGAGATTTCTGAGATGCCACATGCCTCCCCCAGAGTAATCCCACAGTGGCAAGCAGTGTGTGGGCCAGGAAGCAGGACCCCTGCCACTGGCCCTGCTGGACGCTGGCTTCACTTTCAGCTGCAGAGCTGAACAGGCTACAAGGCCTGCAGACTGAGGGTGCAGCTCCCACAGCCCAGGGGTCCAGAGCACCACACCCCTCTGCAGATCCGCACTGCAACATCGAGGTGGGGGGGGCACAGAGCTTCCCATAGCCCCCACAGGGCTGCTGCCACGAAAGACTGCACTGAAGCCTGGTGTGGTGGCCCACACCTGTGACCTCAGCATTCTGAAAGGCTGAACCAGGAGAACCATGGGGTTCCAGCCCGCCCAGGCAGCTCAGAAACTGAGCAAGGCCCTGCCTCTAAAAATGAAAATAAAAAAGAACTGGGAATGTAGCTCTGCAAAGGCGGGGTTCAATGCTCAGTAGGGGGAAGGAGGAGCAGGAGGAGCAGAAGAGCCAGGCATGAGGGCGTACACCTGTAGTCCCAGCTTCTCTGGAGGCTGAAGCAGGAGGATCACATAAGCCCGAAGCCTGTGAGACCAACTTGACAACACAGCAAGATGCTCTCAAGAAACTTTCAAAACTTTAAAAAAAAAAAATTTTAAGGGGCCGGGGAGATGGCTCAGTGGAATAGGAGCTTCCCTGGCAAGCGCAAGGGTCTGAGTTCAATCCCCGGTTCCGCCAAAAAAAAATAAAATTAAGGGGGCCAGGGAGATGGCTCAGTGGAATAAGCACTTCCTTGGCATGTGCAAGGGCCCGAGTTCAATCCCTGGTACTAAAAAAAAAAAAAAAAACTTAGAAATGTAGCCAACCAGGTGTGGTGGTACATATGCTTGAAATCCCAGCACTTGGGAGGCTGAGGCAGGAGAATCACCAGGAGTTTGAGACCAGCCTGGGCTATATAGTGAGTTAACTGAGTTAAGGCCAATATGAAATACAAAGTGAAACTCAGTCTCCGAAAAACAAACTAAAAATGTGGCCAGTGGCCAGTGGCCAAGACTCGGGTGTTTGGCTGCACTTGCTCCTGCCCGGCCACTCCCATCCCTGCTGGCCACTTCCCCAAGGGCCACTTCCCAGCCTCCTCCATGGCCCCTCCCAGTTCTAAGGTTCAGAGAGCCCTATGGGTGAATCCTTTGACCAACACAGGCTTCCTTGGGGACCCTGGGGCCATTTAGGGATTGGTACCAGTGATTTGTCACATGTGGTCTGTGACTTCCATCAACAGGGCTCTGCTCTTTGGTTGAATGTGCACTTTTAAGGGGCTCCTCACAAAGTTTCACAGTCTACCCACTTCTCCAGAATTCCTTTGATCATCAATTTCTTCTGCTACTGGTGATTGAACTGGGGCTTTGGTACTGAGCTACACCCCCAACTTCTTCATTCTTTTTTTTTTTTTTT